TTTGCTTCATGAAACCATGGCACCCTGATCTTTTTTAGTCCTTCTCGCCCTATTTAACCTAACTTGCCGCCTTCTTCCCGCCCCTGCCCCTGCCCCTGCCCCCAGTCCCCTCAGAGTAGGCATATTTAGGGGTAGTGTCACTGGCTGGGATGAGCTACTCTGTGGAAACACCAGAGGCACGCCCTCTTCCCTGAACACGAACCGGCCCCATGGTTGGAGCACTTCCCATGAAGCACAAAATCAGGATCCACGTCCTGACTCTTGTCAGAGTAAGACCTTCAGCTCCTACCTGGGTCTGTCATGCCCTGGGTGGGAGCTTTAACCATGGGATGGTCCTGGAGGGTGTCTGGCTCTGACCCAGTTTCAGTTCCATTGAAATTTTGTTTCAAGGAAAATTCCTGGCCAGCTTCAGTCATGGACATCTGCAAGTTCCTGCTAGACATTCCCTTGGGAAAGATTGTGGCCCTTTTGATGTAGTACCTGGCAGCATGGGAGTTTGGGTCCCAAGGGACCCACCTTGGGTCCCCCAGGGCTGGCCTGGGTTGTAACAGCAGAAGGAAAGCAGGAAAGAATGGGAGCTCTAGGGATCTCCAGGAGCACATGCTAGCTTGCCAAATCTAGGTACCTAGGGTCTGAATCTTCTGTGACCTCGGGTACATGTGGCCAGCAGGGAGTGGTTATGCTGAACAAGAGCATCTCTACTGGGGACCAGGAAACTGTAAAATGAGAAGTTGTTGCCAAGTGATTATTGCACCGTAAAACAGTGGAGACTGTCCTGCCGACCTTGGCTCCAAGGGCAGCTCCTTTATTTCTTATGTGCAGCTCTGGGTAAAGAGCATAGATACTGCACTGCTTGGATATGTCATTTATGCCCACCTACCTTCAAGCATTTCCAGCATCCAGAGGTCTGGTGCAGGGCAGCACTTAAGAAATCCTTCTGGGTTGTTGGGTTAATCTCTTCCCTAGAACTTGGGTCCTTAATCTATCCATCTGCCTTCACTGCTGCTAATATGGTTAATGATCTGCTTTTAAAGAAGGGTCTATTCCAAATTTTATGACATTTTGTGTGCTGGGAGGGTCCTGGAGTAAAATAGCAAAGAGATGGCGTGCAGGACACTGTGGGATGGGGCATGCCAAGGGCCTTCTGCTGGAACACAAAAGATGTCTCCCATGAGGATAATCACTGACACAGTCATGCTCCTCTTGAACTGAGACAGAAAGAGGTCCATGACTTGTTCCAGGCTGCAGACACTTTGGACCTGAGAGGTCTGGCTCCTAGCTTTGTGCTTGGATACCTTAACCAAGCCCATTGAGAAGCCAGGAAGCTGCCTTCTGCTCCTAGTGCTGGTGAGAGGTGACTGATTACTGCTATATGCTGCAAGCACTCGGAGGGGTGTCTGTAGTAGAGTAAAAAATAGGTACTTTCCAAGGTGAGCAGGATCTAGGGGCTTTTACTGAAACATTAATCTTTTGGGGCAAACTACAGCTGATTCCACTCTTGAATGTGGGCCTTTTGCTGATGGGCCCACTGAGAGCCAGGACTGGGCTTTCCTTCACTCTTGTAGGAAGTCTTGCCCTGGTACCTGAGGTCTTCTAGCTGCCAAGTCCCTCTCCTCACGTCTGTCACTGCTATTGTCATTCACGCTGCTGGACGTCCAGTCCCTTTTGATTGTCAAATGATATCTCCCTCCCTTTCCTTTTCATTTTCTTATAGCAGCTGAGCCTGTGCAGCAGTGCTAGTCTTGGCCCTGTCTCTTAACTGTCTCTTTCTCTCCTGTGCAACATGCTTTCCTTTAGGAGAAAAGTGGATGTCAGGTGTGTATCATGGGCCCTTTGAAATCTGTTTTTAAACAACTGTCTTCCTGGGTTGGGGGACATGGGCTGAAGGGTATTATGGGAAGGGTGTGGGGTTTTTTTGGTTTACAATCTGTAGTGGCCATTTTTCTTGGGGGTTTTTTTTTTTTTTTTTTAATTTTTTTTTTAAGAGTAACAAAGATGGAGCCTGGATTCACTTCGTTACTCAGAAATAGCCCAGTTCGCATTAAAGGTGTATAAACTCACTCCAGTCTCCTTGTCCAGGTCTGGTAACTTTCCCTTGCTTCTGCTTTTGGTTCAATTAACTAAGCACTTCCTGCTTGTCTGTTTTCTCCCCCTCCGCCCTTTGTTCATCCAAGCCATAAATACACATGTCTTTTTGACTGGCCACAGGGGACCCAGACATTGCAGATGGTGAATTGTGTCCTTCCTACTACTTTGATGTTCCCAGCATTGCACCCCTTGCTGTTTTGCTCCCTTCAGATGACCCAGTGGTGTTCTTGAAATCTTTCTATGCTACACGGAGCACGTTTCATGCAGCTGGCAGTGGGGTGCTGTAAAGGGGCTGTAGCAACAGAGAGCTTCACTTTTTTTTTTTGTTCTGGTTTGAAAGTCTGTGCTGTTTATTAAATGCACATGCACAAACAGTCTTGTAGATGCGTACAGTGTATGAGTCAGAAAGCTGGGCTTTAAGGATCTTTCAAACTTCAGTGACAAAACGTGCTGCGAGGGGGAAATATCTGTAGCTCTTCACCTGTTTCTTTTCTCCTGCCCTTTTCTTCCTTTAAAATTTTGGGGGGATGGGCATCCTCTACCAAAAAAAATCACAAAATCAAGCACTGGAAGATTTAGAAAATTCCCCAAAGGTAAAGTGGATTTCCTGCCATATTTGGGGGGTGTTTACATGCATCTTTTGCAAATCCCACTTCCCTTGTTAAATGCCGGCTCCTGTGCAGCAGTTCTTATTAATTCAAACAATAAAAGTGACATTGTGTCAAGGGGTTGAGTTGAGTATTGCAAGAGAAGCCTAACTTCAGGAGCTTTCCGATCCTTGCGTTTCACCGCCTCCATAATGCGCTGACCCTGGCTTTTTGTTCTAGTTTGTGTTCATAGAAGGAGAGATCTGTCAGCTGAGGATTTTGGATCAGGGGGTGTTTCTTCTGCCTGTATTCCTCCACCCATTGCAGAAAAAGAAACCATGGGTTTTTCAGCTGTATTATTATTTCTTTTTAGATGACATTTGTTCATCTTTCTGTTTCTTCAAAGTCTCCATAAGGGAGCACTGTGTCCATGTCTGCACGCATGACTGTGTCCTTTGTACATGCTGCATCAGCTGTGAGAACAGAATGGCTTTGTCTGCAGGTAGTTATTAGAAATCCAAGGTATGGTTTCAAAGCTAAATACCCACCATACACAGTGTAACTGCTGTTGGGACCTTCCCCCTCTTTCAGGGACAGGGGAGAGGAGGAGGCCTCTTTAGAAAACTGCTTTGTGCAGCATTGTTGAGGGAGCGAATAACCTATATTTGCTGTGTGGCTGAAGACGCTCAATCTTCTGCCGGAGAGCATGCTGAGATGTACAGACATTCCTGGGATAACCACCCACCTTGTCCAGGATTCTTGCTGACCTAGTCGTATAGCTAACTCGCTCTCTAGCCACATGTGCTGAATGCAGTGAGCTTAAAACCTAGTGATTTTGTTTTCCTTCTGAAAAGTATCATTAGAAAAATGTGGCAGATGGAAAAATCCTGCCTCTTGATGCATCCTAGTCCTTTGCTGCTGGAACTAGTCATGTAATACTCTCTTGAACCTTGCCTAGCAGTATGTGCTGCAGATGCTTATGCATGCTTTCTTGTTCCCACACCTGGTTTCAAATGCATCTGGGTTGGTTTCTGGGTTTTGCTTTGAAATGTTTCGGAGCCTAGCGGCTTCAGCCTTTCTATTGAGCTGCTGGGCTGGTTCCAACTTGATGTGGAGCTTAAGGAGAAGGATCTTCAGGGACTGAAGAAAAGGAAGAGGGCATAGTTCTCTGTTCAGTGGAATAACCAAGTCTCTACTCTGTCTAGATGATGTCCCCATCCCTCTTTGGAGTCAGGAAACGATCTGTAGGGTTCACTGGTGGAAAGTGAAGGTGCATCCTCTTTCCAAGCTATGATTCTTTAGTGTGTGTGTGTGTGTGTGAGACCAAATAGAAGTCACTGAGGAGCTTGAGAAGGGAGCTACAACCCACTTTCATCATTAGGGAGAGGTCAATGTTGGAAGCTGATTGGAATAATTTACGCTGGTTCCACTGTAATGTAGAAGTGGGCCCCAAACAAGACATCTTTCCTTCCCGTTTGCCTACCTTGAATAATTAATTCTTCCGGATGTGGGTGGGGTTGAAAATCTGCATCTAAATTTAAAATTTCAGGAGGCTGTCAAGATTACAAGGAGTTGAGTGAAAATCCGGGTAGGTTCATGGGCATCTTAAGGTACAAGAAAATAAGGCTTCAAGCAGCAAGACTCTGATGCTGTCCCTGTTCTGTACCACAGCTGTAGCTTGCAGCATCCTTGCCCAACCCTGTTGCAAGGCAGCTTAAAGCATCTGGCTTTAATTTTGGTAAAAAAATGAGTAGTGTTTTTGGTTGCCTCCATTTCTGGATGAAGACTGAGGATGGGTTTACAGGTGGTGGTGGGAGCTTTGCCCTACCTGAATTGTCATGATGGGAGGTACTTAATACCTGGGAAACCAGTCACGTTGCAGAATCTTATCTTTGGGGCATGCTGCCTTTAACCTAGGACAGTGGTGCAGGCAGTCCTCTTATCACTGAAATAACATCAAACTATTGTTTCCATGTCTGACTGCCCTCCTCCCCATCTGTTCTGAGATGGGCTTTCCCCCAGTAGGCTCAGCAAAGCTGGACTTTCCAGCCAGGCCAATGTAACAGGAAAGAATGGGGGTTCCCCCTGGTCATTCATTCATTGCTGATGGATGAGTGTCTGTCAGAAACGATGATCCAAGGAAACTGTGTTTTGGTTTTTTTGTTTTTTTTCAGGGATTTGTTGCTTGTATTGTGATTGGAAGTGACTGAAACACTACATTTTGACTTGTAATTAATGAACTGATACTGAAATTGTTGAGACTTTTTCAAAATGCCAGATGATGCCTTAATAGGCCTAATCTGAGGCAAAAGCAAATCTTGAAATCATGGCATTCCCCATGAAATGAAAAGGTCCTTCAGGCAGCTGTCATTCTCCCTTCTGTCATGCCATGTGATAGTTTTCTCCTAAAAGTAAGTGCAAAAAGGATCCCCTAGCTCCCTATGCTGTTTGTGGGGACTCAGTGCATAACTTCTCAGGTGGAAGTGTTGGGCCTATGCTTGTATTAGCATATTGGCACCGTACCTACCAGTATAGAGAAGAGCTTGATCTCGGGGAAGTTTGCCTCCTGTTTTTGTAAGATTACTAGATGGGGAAACCACTAACCATACCTGTGTGAACAATTTAGCCAGCTCTTCCAGCTTTCTTTGGCCAGAGCTCCCAGTCTGTTAAGTTTCCCAGAATACACTGTTACTGTCTTTTAGGTTCTTACATGGTCTCTTGTCTGAACCTCAGGGTCATTAGTGTAGTTATCCCCACAAGAACATTTGAGAGGTAAGGGATATGCCATTACTCGACTTACGTCTATTTCTTTCCATGCGGGTCTGATTCACAAAGAGGCTGGGGAGTGGGGCTGGCTTATTTCATTAGCAGGGATCCTTGTTTTCTATGTTTTAAAAATCCAAATTCTCCAACTTTAAAAAAAAAAACAACAACCCCCCCCCCCAATCCACATTTTTCGTGCTTTGAAGTGCCACTGTGCATATGTGCGCACACATGTGGCACTCCCTGTCTCCACTTGCCCTTCCTCTGTTTTCCCCACCCCCCAACCCCAAGCAACTCCTTGCAGGCTGGAAAGATGCCTGCTTGCAAGGGCATAACCTGTGGTTTTCTCCTTTTTTAAAAGAGAAAATCTGTGTCTGCCATCTTCAAATGAGAAAATCTGCATTTTTTCCACAGCAAACAGAAAACCCAAATCCCTGTTCATCAGGCACCATAGATGCAGAGAAGGCTATTTGGGCAGATGTGCTAAAAGATATCACATCTACCCAAAGAACCTTGCCTGCCCGTGTCCTTAGACCAACACTGCTACAACCAATGACCCTGCAACATAGTAGATGCAGACACACACATGTGATGTTCCCATTTGCCAGCACTCCAGTTGCAGCGTCTCTCTTCTTAACAGGGTCTGCGTCATCGGCTGGCTACACAGACATCATTGTAGGCAGAGCTGCCTGCCAGTGGGCTAATACTCATAACACAGGGGCAAGCTGTTTCCTCGTTCTGTCTGGTGAGGAGCAGAACACGTACAGCATAAGTAATGGAGAGGGACACTCCCATCAGCAGCTCAGGGTCTGACATGTTTGGACCATGATTTTGGGCCTGCTTATACAGGAAGGGACTTTCCCCAGAGTCTGGGGAGGGATCTTGCATTTGTGTGTGCTGGGAAAGGGGAGGTGTTAATTTTCTCTTTTGCTATGTGAGGGCTGTTTCATCAGCCATTCCTGTGAAAGGCTGTTCTGAAAAGTGTAATCATCTGGCCTATCCTCATGAGACTCTTATCAGGAACCTGCAGAGTTTTTATGCAGACTCGTTTCCCCTGCAGTCATAAGTTAAATGTGCACAGAAAAAAATCAAAATCTTGCTGTGATGGAACAGATCATGTGAGGTACCCTCCTGCTGTCTCCCATAAGGGGATAACTTCCCCACCATTCTCAAAAATCTCTCCTGGCTTCTGACCCACTTGCAAGAATTTCTCTGCTCCTCTCCCCATTTCCCAAAATGAGACACAGAAAATTTGAGAACCGGTGTGATTAAAATCTGTGGCCATAAGCTTCTTTCTTCACCTGTCTGATTCACCCTACATTACTGCGAGGGCAATGACAGTCCTATTTCACTGCGTCAGGATAGGCGAGTGAGGCACAGTGTTATTGCAGTCTTGTATCACCCAGGTGTGTGTGTGTGTGTGTGTGTGCGTGTGTGTAGAGGATCTCGGGTACTATAATGAGGTACCGAAAGAACCCAGAGAGATGGTTTATCTCCAAGCATAGACTTGGATTTGAGACAAATGACTTCCCGGATTCTACAGTGGAATTTTCCTGGTGGGCAAGTCAATCTTTCCAATCTCGCTAGCATGAACAGTAGCCATAATGGCATGAGTAGATGGCTGTATGCGATTTTTTGTGCTTGTTATGATGCCCATTGCAGTTTTTACTCCAGCAGTTGTTAAAATCGGAGCTTTCACACCTGGTCTGGTAAACTCCCATTCCCATTTTCCAAAGCTGCTGCGACTGAAATAGCCAGGAATGTCCACACTGAAATGCACCATCTGTAGAGACCCCTATCTATTCCTCTTTGCAGCCCACAGCACATCTCCGTGGAGTCTGGGACGTTGACTCTGTTCTGGGGACGTGTGCTCTTGAATGCACGAAGAGGGTTTGTTTCACTCGTGGCCACTACCATCAGCCATGTGCCTCATGAAATTCTGCACAGCAGAGACGTTCCACCTCCTTGGCCTTCTCGGGGCCCTGTGGGGTTTATTCCCACAAGGCAGTGAGAGCAGAACATGTAAATGCAGCGGTGGCACTGCGTGGTACCCACTATCCCCTTGTTTTTGGCTGCTTTGTCACGAGCTGTCACTCCCTCTTCCCCTCAGGGCTGCAGGCTCCTGTGCCACTAATGTTCTTCAAGGACTGGTGTAACAGCTCCCAGGCAGGCAGATGACCTTTCTCAGAAATAGCACTTGGTACTGGGCTTCATGGGGAACTGAGGCCTGGTTCAGCTCCTGCTGGGGGTGCTTTGTATGGTCTGAGGAGCTTCCAAATCTAGAAGAGTGGATTGCGGATGAGGAGGAATTAAATGACGAACAAAACTGGCTTTACAGCACAAACACTGGGGCCTGTTAAGTGATGTTTGCCCCTTGCTTCTTTTTCTAGTCTCTGTCCTGCCTCTCTCTCTTCTTGTTCGTTCCTCCTATGCCACTGTGTTTAACAAGTTTTTTGGTTTTTGAGCTGTCTCATTTATTTTTTCCTGACGCTTCTTGATCATCCCCACCACTGTTCTGCTGTTTTTTGGTTGCGTTTTTGTTTCTTCTCTGCTTTCCCGTTTATCTGCTTTCTTGGATTTCCAGTACTTCACATTCCAGCCAGACCTGGTTCAAATTCAGATGGCTCCAAAGGTATTGTAGATAGAAATTTGATGTACCCTTTTAAGTAAGGCGTTTCTGTATTTAAAAGGAGCGTGTGTGAAATGAGTTCCCATGGCACTACATGTCTTGAGTGATCAGTGGATAACTGTATACAATTTCTGAAAGCAATGTGCAGGACATGCAGGTGCTCCACCCCTCTGGAGATGGCCCTCTGAGGAAAGCTCCATAACTCATTTCCCTTCTCAGCTGGTTCCTGCCCTCTACACGCCCCAGCGTCAGGGTCCCAGAGTGTCATTGCAGATGGCAGTTCCCAGTACTCTAGCGGGGAACAGTTGTGGCTGGTGATATTAAGAGCGGTAGTGGGCAAAAGACAGTGGTTTCCATGGTGTATCGAACTCTGCTGCTTGGTTGGGTAATGCCTGCTAAGGACATGTCTGGGCCCTTGGATCGTAACATCCAGACACTCACCTGAATAAATTCAAAGCTTAATAGCTCCTTGCCCTGTGAGCTCTGGATCTGACTTCTAGCTTGATTTCAAGCTTTATGCCCTTCATTTTCCAGGGCAGTAAAGCTATTGGTGTTTGAGCAAAGTAACTTTGGGGGCGAAAACTAGTTTAGAAGGAAATGCTGGTGCCAGCGACTTCCTTGAAGGTAACCTCTAGCCCTCAGTGTTGTGACCTTGGGCTTGCCAGATGCTTAGGACTTGGGCTGGGGAGGAGTGGGAGGCTCCAGTGCTGTGATGTCTGTATCTTTACATGTGCATTTGTTCTTGTTTCTCTGCCAGGGAAGGAGACTGGTGGCTGGCTCATTCTCTCACAACAGGACAGACTGGCTACATCCCCAGCAACTACGTTGCTCCCTCAGACTCCATCCAGGCTGAAGAGTAATTGAAATCTCTTAGACAGTTTTAAAGACCCATGCAAGGACATTGCCAAGCAGAGACTTTTCCCAGATATTTTATAGTTCCCCTAAAGGCACTTGTAGACATCTTGTTTTTGATCTTGCTGTCCTGCAACTTTGTTGCCTCTCTTGAAAGCCAGATGTGTCCTGGTAAAATGTACTTGAAGTATTTCTTGAGCATTTACTCTAGGGAGCTCCACTGTTTGGTTTTCAGAAGTGGTGTTGAAGAATCTTATCCTTGTAACCAAATAAGGATTTTAATTACATATGCAAGATGATTTGCATGTGTGAATTAAGGGGCTTGTACCCTCCCGTTTTCATCTGCAACTGCTTTATCTGCATGTGGAATTGCAGCAGTGATATGTAGATCAGGCATGTGGCATTGGCTCTAGCAAGTACTTATGTGTATACCTGTTTTTAAAGGTTGCACACACCATGCCTGAAGGCATGATTGCAATTGTAATTGTTCTGCATCTGCTGGGAGAAGACCTTCTCTAGGAATACCAGGCTTGGATTCGTGGGGTTCATGCTGGTGTGGGGGACATAAAGGCATTTTTAAAGCCTCTGCTTATGACCCAGAGTAGCTTATTGGCCTGAGGTCCTTGGTACCCAGCCAAACCTGGACCAGATGCTGAGAGACTCTCCTGCCAATGGGATGTGAGATCTCTGAAGAATGCTAATGCAGCCCATGGTGCTAGGAATTGGTGCTGGGCGGTAGAGGAGCTGTTTGGGGGCCTCTCTAGGAGTGCTGTAGACTTGGAGCAGGGCAATGGTTTCCCTGTGCTGACCTGTGGTTTGCCTTTCAGGTGGTATTTCGGCAAGATTACTCGCCGGGAGTCCGAACGGCTCCTCCTCAACCCTGAGAATCCCCGAGGAACTTTTCTGGTCAGGGAGAGTGAAACCACCAAAGGTAATGGATCCCTACAGGGTTCTGGGCTCCTATGATGGGGACCAGGATAAGTCTTGGAAAGACCAGCCCTACTTAGTTGTTTTGACAGGATGAGGTGAGGAGTCTGGTGGGGCCAGAGATCTCCAGTAATTCTGTACTTTCTCCTGCAAAGATCTTCTCGTCCTTGTTTTACCTCTGGGATGGGGCAGCTCCAGCTGTGCCCAGCCTCTGTAGGCAGAGAAGAGGGGGTCCTATTAGAGCAGTCTAGTACCTCCAGACACCATGACCTATCCCAAGAAGCAATGCTTTTCCTTGGTGGGTGACATCCCTAAGGTATTTTAACCCTTGTCGTATATTCTGTCCCCTCCCAGCCGCAGCCTGCTTCAAGGGGCAGTTCCTCCACTCCCTGCACTGATTGGCTGAGAGCTGGGTGGGAATTTGGTGTCTGATATAAACAGTCTTCAGGCTTGTGCATGCCTCCCCTGTTTCTTTTTTTTGTAAGAGAACAGTGCAGAAACTGGGTCACCGGCTGGGAATAGCTGGGTAACCCATAGCAACAGGGAACTCTACAGGAAGAAGAGCCAGGGGCTGTTGTGTTTACGTGAGCTGCTTCATGGAGGCTCTGCAAGCCTGTGTGTGTGTGCACGCATGTGCACGTGTGCAGGACCTGGCTGTAGAAATGGGAGGGAGCTTGTTTCTGAAGCCACATCAGCAAAGGATGTGTGTTTGTATTAGCCCTTTATGTTTGTATTTAGTAAGATTTTTGCCAGATTCAGCTGACCTGGGTGCACACACAGAGGCTTCATCTCCGTAATGAGCCTACAGTGTTGGGTGTGGCTTTAAGGTGTCATGAGGCATATCTGATGAATCTGTGCAGTAGTTGGGAGGCTGAATGCTCTCTCTCTGGCACTTGATTATGTGGTCCCCATTGAGTTGGAGATGCTTTTTATAGTCTTCAAAGCTGTTCCCAATATAGTGCCCCAAGCATGTCTCTTTGTACTGCCATAAGATGCTCTGGAGCTGATGGTTAGATGGTGACATTCAAGATTGATACAGAATATATACCCACGTGTGTGCAGTACCTTCCATCTGGATGGATCCCAGGGAGCCTCCTAAGTGAACCAGCATCACTTGGTCATCTCTATCCTGCACTTCCCTTTGGCGTGGACAGTGGCTCTGGCAATGCTCTGCAGTTGTTGCTGTTGTGCCTAGACCCTACTTGATTTTTGGGGTTCAGTTTGCTGGGCGCCATAGAAATGCATAGGAACAGTCCTCACTTACAAACATTTTAATAGATTGGAGCACATGAACAGTGTGGCAGATGGGGGAACAAAAAGACTATCCCCACTTTAGAGAGAGAGAGACATCTTGTCCTAGCATCACAGCAAGAAGTCTGTGGCCCAGCAGGGAAATGACTCCGATCTCCTGAGTCCTAGGCCATACCCCCAAGCCTGGGATGCCTTTGGAGGGGAAGTACAGGCTAACCCCTCCCCTTCAGAGAACATGTGGACTTTACATGGAGAGAGCAGCTATTCAAGAGAGGCATTGGCCTGGACCACAGGTTTGTTTCCACTGTGCAGCTGTCTGTCCCGTTTTTGCTACTGAAAAGGCCTTTTAAAGGGGAAGCCCAGAATCTTTCCCTCTCCTGGAGATTTTCCTTTATCTTTTGTCTCCTTGGCTTGCATTTGTGCCTCTGAGGTAGGTTCTCTCTACACCATTCAGTAGCCAAAGTCCTCTTGGCAGGATCCACAGAGCTCATTATGCCAGAGAAATTGCTAATATTATTTGTGGAAGATGAGGTTTTTTCCCCATATCTTGTCCAAGCTGCTCCCTCCCTCTGTTAAACCACTGCCCGTCTCTGAGCTAACTTGGTTTGTTCTGATATTCTGTTTTGCACAAGTACAGCTCCCGTCGTGAAAGCATCTGAGGTGCCCCTGAAGTACTTAAAGGGAAATTAATAATCATTCTCCCCTTCCCAGGCTGTAGGAGTAATGGCTACATCAGCTCACGGGCTGCAGGTAGGAGTGGATGGGAAGAAACGCTAATGGTCAGTTTTCGGAGGCCCCTGTGGGATGCTTCAGTTTGCTCTACTGTTGCTAATATCTGATGAAGGAACATGAACACTTATGGAACTGGAAGTGCCAAATATTTAGCAAAGACCATCTTGGAGGGATCAAGGGCCCAGTGTTTGAAACTGGGATGCAGGACTCATGGTTTTGCTTCCAAATACTGTCTGCCACTGGCAGGTGGTGCAACTGTGATCAGATGGCCTTATCTTTCTGCCTGCTCATTTCTCCATCTGTGTAGAAGCTGTCCCACTTACACATGCCATAAGTAGCTGGTCCATACTTAAGAGTTTCTCAGAAACAGCTGTTTTTTAGTAGCTTCATGTGTGGACAAACCCTTGGGCTTAATTTGGTGTTGCTACCTCTTGTGACTTGTTAGTGAATCTCTCAGTGGCCTTTTTATTTCATTTTATCGCAAAGTCCTAGCTCCTGGAGTCATGTGATTTAAGTGAACTCCCACACTTTACTTTTTTTAAAATAAATTTCAGTTTTCACGGATGTCCAGAGGAACTTGAAAATATGACTCCGACAGCTCCAGAGCCAAAAGGCATATGGTGGCTTGTTTTCAAGTGCTGTGGGTCTGACACCAGCATTGTGACTTCTGGGGGCAGAGTTTGTCTCCTGGTCCTTGAACACTAAGGGTTGGTGACGCTATTTGATTTAAGTAGACAGTGGTCAAAATTGGCTCAGAATGGACTTTCGGGAAGCTCCAGAATGCTTTTCTGTCTATAGAATCATAGAAGTTGGGTCGGAAGGGACCTTGTAGATCTTCAAGTCCAACCCCCCGCTTGGGCAGGGGAAAAACTGGGCTCAAATGACTCCAGCCAGGTAGGCATCAAGCCGCCTCTTAAAGATCCCCAGGGTAGGAGCCAGCACCACTTCCCTTGGAAGTTGGTTCCAGATCCTAGCCACCCTGACTGTGAAGTAGTTCTTACAGATGTCTAATCTAAACCTACTTTCCAACAACTTGTGGCCATTATTCCTTGTTATGCCAGGGGGTGCAAGGGGAAACAAGGTCTCTTCCAAACTCTTCTGGTCCCCCCCCCCTAGTGAGTTTATAGATGGTCACCAGGTCCCCCCTCAGCCTTCTCTTGTGGAGGCTGAACAGGTTC